CAATTTTTGTGCATCATACGCCTCAGATGTCAAACACTAATAAATTAGTTCCTTTAATGTATTCCACAATTTATTTTGAGCAGTATATTATATTAAAATATTCTTTACTTATATTCAATAAAGAAAAAGTGGGTACTTTCCTCTTAACAGAGTACAGTTTTCTGAATGTGTTAGTCTATTTAAATTATACCATGAACAGCCGTGCAATGATACATATAATGTTTAAAATGTGCAATATTGATATTGTGCCATGTGCTCAATAATTTGTTTTTGCTTAAAAAATCTTCAGAGAATTGTACAAATTCAGCATTGCATAAATTAAACATTACTGATAGAAACTAAAATCCCAATGCCAAAAAAGGGTTGTGTTAGATAGCAAAATTTTGGAAGTGTGTTTGCACATTTGAAAGACTATGTCTATTCAAATTTTGCACTAGTTGAAAATGTGTTGTGCTAGTGGTGCCACTATAAACATGCAAATCACATTTGCTTTAAATATGTAATGTAAACTTCGTGTGCTTTATTTATCTTCCGCATTGGTTGTTCTGTGCGGGATTTGAGTCAAGAATGTCTTTAAGGAGATGAAGAAGGCATTACCAGTAGCTTACTGAGTTTGAACAAGGCCATGTAATAGGGTTACAACAAGGTAGATTTTCTTTTCAGGATACTGCAGAAAGACTTGGTAGGAATGTATCCAACAATAGTCAGGGGAAGATACTGTCACCACTTAAATGAAAGACCGCCATATGTCTGTGACACATTACATTACGTCTGCAGCAGACATTCGAGTGTTTGTTGATGAGTGACACGGCAAACTGTAAGAAACCAATAACTTGAGGCACAGCCCTGAGTTAGACATTCTATAGGACCATATTATTAACTTATTGGAGGGCAGAGTAGAGATCTTTTATGTTCTCAGATAAGAGACATTGTTGTCATAGTGCCAGCAATAACCATATATTGGTTAGAAGGAAACTTGGTGAGTGCTTGGAACCAAGCTGTCTGAAGCATGGACACATTGGAAGGTGTTGTGGTCTGAGGAACAATTTTGTATGGCAATAGAACCACTCTCATCATTATACCACACTTATTAGCAGTAAATTCGTATCTCAGGCTGGTGATTGCACTGGTTGTGCTGTCATTCCTGAGCAGTATTTTAGGGTGCATTTTCCAGCAGGATAATGCTCGTCTCCTTGCTCCTATCACCCAATGTGCTTTGCAGAGTGTCGACATGTTGCCTTGTAAGATTGCCTGATCTTTCTCCCGTCGAATACATATGAGATAAGACGACAAAGCTAGTTTCATCCCCAACCAACACAAACCATTGCTTATTTGACTGAACAGGTGCAATGGGCATAGAACAAAATGATATACTGTGCCTGTGTGACACAATGCATGTACTCTCTAGTCACCATGTTGAATGCATGCCACTTGTAGAGTCTTCTTGTGTGTTTTGGGAGCATACACTGTAGTCCCTACTGAAAAGACGAAGTAGCAAATTCTTGCTATCTCTTGGAAGAATAGATGAATGCAAATGAAGGTGTAACAACCTTTTTTTATTTTAATGAAACAGAACAGAAAATGCACTCACTCGGTGTTCACAATTAAACCACCACTTGTGGATGAGTAACTTGAACAGAAAATGATTTTTGCAATCATAGTAAATTAAAGTTTAAGTACATGACTGACTGCTACTTTATATAAACTGCTTAATCGGCTGCACACAACAAAGCTGAGCTTAGAATATCAATGTTATCTAAAGTAAGTGGCTAGCACCAACTGTCTTGACAACTACAGAAATTATTAATATAGCACCATTTCACATTTGAAATGGCTCTTCTCATCCATGCTTTAATCTTTGACCTTGAAAAATTGATCAGGTAAATACTTTGCCTAGATTTCATTCCTCTAAACTGATTTCTTCTTGGTACTGGGATTTCATTTTCCATCGGTGTATTATCATATTTATTATTTATAAAATATTAATTTTTTTCATAAATCTTTATGCATTATTATGGTTGACACCATCTAGATAGATTTTGCTCCAATCATTAATTTTGAAACTAAGTGGCACCCCATTAGCAGAAAAGTGTCTAAATTGTGTAGAAGGAATTATGTAGTTTGTCCTATATGTAGCTTTTCCATACTTCTGTGAAAGGTTGGCAATTGTAATACCATTATTATTTAATAACCATTATGCTTAAAATTATTCATTATTTTGCCTGTTGTATACTACCTTGGTTTTAAATGTATATTTGAAAACTGAAATTTAAAAAAATTATCCAGAGAAATGTATAGTTTTAAAAATTAGAATTTTAGCTTTATTGTAGCAAATGTTTGATTGCTATTCAAATATGTTTCTTTTACTAAAGAACAGAAAAATATGATTATTTTTAATTATTTTTATTGAAGCTTATTTTAATTGTTAAAAACTAAATCAATGTTATATAAAAAAAACTTTATATACATTAAAAAAAAAAAAAAAAAAGCTTTCTACTGGAAGAAAAGTTCTAATTCTTATAAAGATCAGTTTCTATGTTTGATAAGTTTCTAAAATTTTAGCAGAATTGTAAAGTTTGAAAATTGTATAAATGCAATTGGACTGACTGATTACAAAAACATGTATGCAAGTAAAAGTAAAGAACAAGTTAAGCTTGGCATGAAATTTTAAGTAAATCAATTTTGCATATCAATATTGTATATTTTTCCCTTCTGAAAAAGAGATTCCTTATGTCCTCAATATCAGTAGTAATTAAAATTTATGCCAATCTGAATTTTTTCTCTAATTTGACATATTTCTTTTTCATGTGTATATATGTATGAGTATTCTATTTTAATAATGCTTTTTCTTTTGGTCAAATAGAAAATTTATACCTAAAAATGATAAATTTAAAGGCTTTATCAGCATCTGTTTTCGTTCATATTGTGCATTTATTTAATTTCCATAAACTATGGTAAAAATTATCCACTAGCAAAAGTACTTAAAACATGCTTTTGCAGGTTTCAAAGACTAAATCTTCATATTTGAATTATTTTGCTAATCTAATATATTTTTATTTTTCCTTTTATTTTTTGTTTTATTATTGATTAACCCATTAACCACCAAAACTACAATGAATGATTTTTTTCTCGTGAAAATAATAACAAATATTAAATTAAGCATTTATAACATAAATTTACATTAAAAATTTTTAAAAAAATGCTCTTACCTGTGGAAAAAGCGAGTGTTGTGTTCCTGCAATGTCAGCGGAATAAGATTATGAATGTTTAGTCAATAGGATTGTACTCGTGCGATGTTTCCTTTGAGTGGAGCACTGGATTACTTTTTATCTGTGTAACGTTTTATAAACCTACAAATCACTTTACTTGCAGTTGGTTTAATATTAAAATATGCATTATATTTCTTTTACAAATACAGATTATTTCAATTGAAAGATTCAAGCATGAAAAGTTTCACTACAATTATCATGTAAAGCTATTCTTCATATTCTGGTAATTTCGGAGCTGTCGACTTACCTGAATAAATATCGAAATGAAACACGTATCCATCAGATGACACCTTGCTTTGTCTCCAAATCTTATAGGTTTCCCTTTTAAAAACATCTTTGCTGAATGTTTCCCTCGATAAGGAATCATTTGCTCGTCAATACTCAGATCGTGGGAAAATATACCAGATTGTTGGAATTTCTTATTCAGTAAGTTTTGATATGGTCTCACTTTATATAACTTATCACTATTGTCAGCTAAATGCAAATTCTGCTTCATATTCCTGTGCTGCAAACGTTACATCGATTCTCGTACAATAGGAACAGAAATGTCTTGTCAAGAGACCAATACATTTCTTCTTGAGGTACCCCATAAGCAATAATATTCCAATAAATCTTCTCATATAGGCTTCAGATGCAATAAATTTTTGGGCGATTTTTTTGCTGAGCGTATATATTTGTCTGTTCAACGAGAAGAGAGTAAATGTCTGAAGCAAAAAGAAAATTGAAAATCTCTCCACTACTTTTACATTGTATTTTGTCTTTTATAGTTTCTCTTCTATCTCTTTCTTCATTTTCTTTCTGAGACATAACTGATGGTTCCATTTTTATCCATTTCAAGTTTTCAGTTTTCTGCTTTTTAAACTTTTTCGTATGACTACCACTGCTTTTAGAAGGCTGAAACTTACTTCTTACGTGAATTATAACTTCCCCAGCAGTATTCATTCGGTAAAATATCATTATTTAAAACATTGCCATCCTCTTCATCACTAGCTTTTACAATTTCTGGGAGAACAACAACAATATCAGTTTCATTCTGGTCATTATTAACATTATCATCATCTGTTTCTTCAACAAAAAATCTTTGAAGGGCTTCTTCTAATGTAAGATACCTCGTTCTAGACATTTTTAAAGCAGCCACAGCATGGACCAGAACATCGAAAGGAATGAGTAAAAAAGATTACCCGTTTCCTGCTGACATTGCGTTAGCGCAACACCTGTTTTTTCCTTCCTTCCCAACACAAATATAAACATATGATTGATGTAATGTTCTGATATATGGTGACCTTGACTAAAAATATATCACTCATAAAGACGGCGATTCTTTCGTTAAGTATTTTCGGCAAAAATACCGGGTCGAAAATTTTGCTTATGACATTATTATAAACAAAATGATTGTTGAAGGAAAATATTTTTTTTTACAGAAAAAATCTTCATAATATTCCCTACACAAAATCATATGCAGGTATAAAATATCTTAGCTAGTTATGCATTTATTTAGACCATTGCATCAACGCAACACCAGTGGCTAATGGGTTAAAGAATTAGACAAAAGTACTCATAAGCATCAGCAATTCATTAAATAATGTATGTGTTTTACTTGTATTAAATTTACTTATTCATTCTTTAAATTTCCTTTTCTTGTTACTTATTATTTTCAGTTTATGTGGGTAGCTAATATGGAAATTTTTAAGTTTCTCTCTTTGCATTCATATCAGGATATTTTTATTTCAGAATATCATTCATCGCAGCAGGTTTTTGTTTTAAATTTCCGTGGCCTCACTTTTGCCTTTGCCATAGATCCAAAATTACAGGTAAAGATTCTGTTTTATGCTTCATTATCAAGAACTGAAAATCTGTGTGAACTAATGCTCCTTCTATTCCTAGCAGTGTTCGAATTCATATCAAGTAGTTTAGAGTCCTGATTTTTAAACATGCCATTTTTTCCAATGTAATAACAAAAATCTAGTTCATAGTTATTTTAATCAAAAAACTTCAGTTAGTGATATCATGTAGATCATTTAGTAGATGAAAACAAAATATAAATAGGTTGTATTTCAGCATCGTAATCATTTACCAATAAATAAATTTTTACTTTATCTGATCTGGTAACTTAACAGCAAATCAATATCAACCTTTCCATATGAAATTGAAACCAAATTGAAACTTTATAATGTTTAGGTCTACCACATTGGTAAGAGTGAAATAAGAAGCTAAGCATTAAAACTAGAAGATCTGGTGATTTACTCGACAATCAAAAGATATAATAAAAAATTGGGAGTCTGTTGATAAAAGAAAAAGACTTGATAGCTTTGTTAATGTTACAGATTTGAAAATGCATAATCGTTCGGAGTATGAGAAAAATCTTGCCCTTTTTTTTTTTTTTTTTTTTTTTTTTTTTTTTCTCAGTGCCAATTTTAGGCTTGGATCATTGCTTATTTTTCAAGTATTTTTGCATCATCTTAAATGCAGCTTTTATTGAACAATTTATTAAGAGATAATTCTTCAGATTTTGGAAGATAAGCTTTCATCTATGTGTTCACACTTTGTAATATTTTCAAAAGATAATCCGTTAAAAATTTTTCAGATGCTTTTATTTTACTATTAGACTAGTGTTTTTGTGGATTGTGTGAGTTGCTTAAAACGTATCTGGAAGACATTATTATTTTATTATTAAATAAATTTCGAATGCCATCAAAACATCTTTATGACTATATGAAACAGTGCTAGCAAAATTCTTATTGGCTATATTTAAAAATACAGGGATGTTTATAAAATGTGAGATGTTTTCTGAGCCACAGCCAGCATTGAAATGCAGCCTTGTCGTGCATAATCTGGAATATCTGGTTATTTTTGCTTAGTTGTAACATGCATCTTTCATGGATTAAGGTGAAAGAACAAAAACATACATACATTGTGCCAAAATAAATTATTTATGGAATTTTAAAAGTGACAGTTTACCAGTAAAAATTTTATGTCATTTAAACTGGTTTTTCAGAATTACTAAAAAATATTCCTGTAAAATGTTGTATGTAGCAGGAAAGTTGGAAGTGAGTATGAGCGTGAAAATTCTTAAGTATCTGTTGTTGTTGTTGTTTTTTTTTGGGGGGAACAGGTGTAATGTAGTTACAATGACAATATGTTCACATAATTCATTATTTTGAATATAAAACTGATAAATAAGCAGCTATATTATCTATACATTTGCAAGAAGAAAATTTACTTTCATAAGCATTTAAGTTCATTTGCATTCTTTTCAGGCATTAAATATATTTCACACACATTTTCATTGTTGAAAAAGGAAATTGCTCTTTTTTTTTAGCTTTTTAAATCAAGGGGAATAATCTGAATTCATAATGTTAGGCCCACTGATTGCATATCATTTACTAGCAAACCATGAGGGAGGTATGTGCAACTTCTGTGTGTAAAATGTGAACTTTTCCTTTTGAAGTTATCGGGTTTTTTTTTTTTTTTTTTTTTTTTTTAAATATTAATAGATTATTTTTTAAATGTAGGTGATTTATCTCACAATGTTAATGCAATTTTTTAAGGGGGGAGGGTAAATTAAATCTTGTCCTCCCTGACTATTTGCTCCAATCTGAAAACAGTAATTATAATAATAACCTTCAGTTATGGGTTACTTTATGATCAGTTTTGATGGTCCTTTTTAGTCTATTCACATCTGAAGTTTAAATATTCAGACTTGTAGTTCGCCATAACCTTAAGTCTGATTGCTTGGAACTTATTCTTTCTTTCTTTCTTTCTTTCTTTTTTTTTTTTTTTTTTTTTTTTTTTTTTTTTTTTTTATAGCATGCAAGATTATTTGAATGCTAACACTGAAATTGTAGTCACTTGCAAGATACATTATTTAAAACTTTAATGTGGCTTACCATGTTTCACAAATGACAACATGTAAAGGTGAACTAGATGCATTTGAAGACTTATATTAAGAAATATCCAGTTTGTTGTATTCATGATCTGTTATTTTGCAACACCCACCATTACCAAGTACATAAAAAGATCAAGACAGTAATAAAGAAGGATGTTTCAGTGGTTCATAACATTGGTGCTATAGTTTCACAAGTGAAAATTAATCTATCATTAGTAATTAGTACATTTTATAACAAAGGTTTTCCTTGAATGTTATTAAATTGATTACAGAAATACGGCTAATCCTAAATATAAAAAGTAACAGTTAAAAAACCATCTGCTGAATTACTACCAATAAAGCTTTTAGTTATCATATTTTCTGACAAAACATGATACTTCTTAATCATTTCTTCTTTGCTTTCACTTTTTTGACTCTTTCACTTAAAATGCTTCTTCAATATATTGCATGGAGTTATCACTTCAATATATTGCATGGAGTTATAAATGTTCACTAACATAAATAAAGCATAAACAAAAGGTTTATGCTTTATTTATGTTAGTGAACATTTAGCATTTGCTTATGCAGCCAAACCTTGATTTGACAGATTATTGGAGACTAACTGTGCAATTCCTTAAATTAAAATGTCTTAATTCCAAAATTACAAATATGGAAAGAAATATAAAAATGTTATACTCATTAGATTGGAAAACAAAGCAATGACCAGAGATTTATTAATTTCCAGTTTTTATTTTGTTCTTTCATTTTATCTATTGTATATAAACAAAAGAAGTAATATGACAAATTTTAAAATCAAGGTTTGGCTGCAAATGCTATGCTGAATCAAACGTTTTATATATTTTTATGTGCATAACTGACACTTTTGTTTCATCATAAGTTTATAACTTCATGTATAAAAAAATTCGTACTTTTACTTTTGAAAGTACCAATTTTTTTTAAAGTAAATAAAATTTCTTCTTCTTTCCCTTCCCCTTTTTTAGCCTAGATATGCCCATGGATTAGGAAGTCTTCAGTTTGGAGCATTCCCTGTTGTGTCCAAAATGTCCATATATAGTGGTAATAGTCTAGCAGAAACAAGGTATTTGCTATTAAAAAATATTACTTTGTGTAAATTTTGATAGTATTGAATGTTCATAAAAGTAAAATAGAAAATTTTATGACAATGATTTCACCATGGATATAGAATTTTACAGTTTTGGAAACAAAATTTAACTCTTTCTACAGTGTTTTTATAAAGTCCAATTTAAGAAAAAGTCATAATACTTTTAATATATTAAATGCAACGTGTTCCATACCTTTTCATGTGTGCAGTGTATGAAGCTAAACTTGACCCTCTTTCTAATGATTGCGTTTGGCCTAGCAAGTGATGCTGAGCATATTTTGCCATTCCTTTTCTATAAAAATATATAGCAATTTTTGCATGTGAAAATACATTTCATAAAAGCTGCAACTTCTCATCATAAGTTTTTTTTTTTTTTTTTTTCCCCATACTGTGCAGGTGATTCTACTTTACTCAGCAAATTTCTAGGGAGAAATAAACTTCTCTAAGATAGGAGTTGGCCCTATTAGAAAATAAATTTACTGACTTAGATAGTTTTTTAATGTATACTTGCAATCAAAATAAAATATTCTATTATGTTTTTGGTAAGTTTTTTTTTAAACCTTAGGAAATAACTACTAAATTATAGTTAACTAATAAAACTATATTGATATTGCAAAATTTGTTGACTGCTTTGTTGAACTTAAATTATTAATTGTTCTCATCTCAGTTTAGGATATAAAAATGCAGAAAATTTCATATTTAATTTATAAAAGCATAATAACCTCTTAGGTATTCTGCTTTACAAGGACCTTATGAAAAGTTAAACTTTTATGTTTTTAAATAAAAAAATTATATATTTTTTTAATATTTTTTTTTATTTTTCTCCCCTCCAAGAACAGTTATCATAAAATTCTCTACCTTATGTATCTTGTAACTAGAAGCATTTGTTTAGGAATATACTGGGTCTGATAACTAAATGACATAATTTTATTATGTCTGAGATAAAATCATGATTGGTCAAACAATGCATACCACCTCATTAGCCAACCTTTCTCTATAATCTAGCAGCATTCCAATGCTTCTTACTATGTGTAATGGGAAGTGAGATAATATTACTGCATAAGCAGCACGGAATAAGTACTAATTCTTGTCTTAAACCCAGAAATAGGCTTATCAAAACAGTTAAGCAAATTAAGTGAATGTGTAGGAATGGTTTATACACAAATATTGAGATGGTTTTCATGATTCTAAAGTGGTACTGAAAAAATTGAATGTGAAGTTAGGTCTGGACATCCAAATTTTGTTTATAATGGGAAATTTACTCTGAAAGTTAAAGAACTTGTATAAGAAGATTATTGTTTAACTGGGAGGATGATGGCATTTGAATCTGCTGTTAATAATAAGAAGAAGAATCAAATTCTGTTGGGAAGACTTGAGCTATAAAAAAAGCATCTCACTGTTTGTGCCATATTTTTTTGTCCGGTGGCCAAAATGTGATCACACCAAAGATATCTTTCAAACAGTAATTTCAGAGAGATAAAAATAGCAGAAAAATAAAAATTCCTTGAAGTCGATTGTTTTCAGAGGATGAAATGTGGTACTTATCTATGCTACTTCAAATTAATGTGATATTCTGAATGTAAGTCCCTATCATCACCGAAATGGGTGGGGTGGATTGTTTTTAAAATCTGAAAGAAAAAATAATTTTAGTGTATTTCTGTGTATGCAAAAGAATTATTAATTATGAATTGCTCTAGAAAAACAAACTTTGAATGTAGTGAATTGTAAAAATGTAGTAATTTATTTCAGCATTTAATGAAAAGGGTTCTCTAGTCAGGTTCAATTCAGCACATGGTAGTTGGTTCCTTCTTCAAAATAATGTATCAGCTCACGGCAGTTATTTTACAGGACTTTTCAGCCAAAATACAAATATCTTCTTGAAGGTAAGTTTCCCATGATCCATAAAAAGAAACAAAATATAATTACACAGAAAGATTTATTGCACACAATAGAGCAATATTTCCATTACTTCTCAACATAAGAACCCCCAGAATTGTAACACTTGTCTTACCGTGGATTAGTTTTTGTAGTTCAGTGTCATAAAAGTCCATCACTTGGGAATGGAGCCAGCATGTTACAGTTATCTGCACGTCTTCATCTGTAGCAAAGTGATGCCTAGACTAAATAACTACTAAATTATAGTTAACTAATAAAACTATATTGATATTGCAAAAATTTGTTGACTGTTTTGTTGAACTTAAATTATTAATTGTTCTCATCTCAGTTTAGGATATAAAAATGCAGAAAATTTCATATTTAATTTATAAAAGCATAATAACCTCTTAGGTATTCTGCTTTACAAGGACCTTATGAAAAGTTAAACTTTTATGTTTTTTAAATATAAAAAATTATATATATTTTTTATTTTTCTCCCCTCCAAGAACAGTTACCATAAAATTCTCCACCTTATGTATCTTGTAACTAGAAGCATTTGTTTAGGAATATACTGGGTCTGATAACTAAATGACATAATTTTCTACAATTGCAAGTCACTGAGAGCAGTATCGGGACTGTAGAGTGAATGATCAGACACTTCCTAATGAAAATTCTGCAGCATATTTTTTGTGAAATTTGCGATATGCAGGCAAGCATCGCCATGGAGCAACACATCACCAGCACTGAGCATACCATACTTCTTGTTCTGAATCGCTCGTCAAGTTCTCTTGGGCTGCACAGTAACATTCACCATTCACCATAGCACCCTCAGCAGGAAGTCAAGCAAAATGCTTTTCCTGTCCTAGAAGACCACGCACATCAATTTCCATGTGATGCATTCTGCTTGACTTTGGTCTGATACAGAGATCCACTGTGATGTCAATGCATTAACTGCAACTTGGTTTCTAGGGTAAAGTGAGCAACCTATACCTTATCACCCTGTAACAATCCTGTGGAGGTACTCATCACCTTCAACATGGTGTCACTGCAGAAAAGTCAATGCTGCTTCCATGTGTTTCATGTATTGTTCAGTTGTAAGGTTCTTCAACATTCACTTGGTGCAAAATTTTCTGAACAATTCATGATGATTTCATGCACCATAGTTTGTAATACCCATTGGAAATGGCTTGTGAGTTCCATAACCATAAAGTGACAATTCTGCAGAATGCACTGCTGCATCTGCTCCACAATACCATCATCAATGAGGGATAAGCCACCAATGATGAACCATCTGCTTGTTCATCACATTTGGTCCATATACTAAACACAATTGATAATGGATTTAGATCGGCACTATCTTTTGTGCATTCAAAAATTTTGTCGTAGACTTCACCTTGCAGTTGGTGGGAGGAGAAATAAGAGCTGATATTCTTAAGCATAATGTAAGCAATCGGAAAATACAACTACAATAGCTATACCCACAAACCACCCAGCTTGTGCCTTCGCATTTAGTCCTTTTTGCAATGCCATCTTTTGTCATGTAGGAATCTTACTTTCCGGATGACTCTCGTATAAATATATGTGTAATGCCACCAAAGTTATTTCACAAATTTGGGTTTCTGGGATTATTTTATATGCCCCAACCTGAAATAATTTTTGAAAGAATACTTTTTTGCAGATGTTGAAGAGATTAAAAGCACTTTAGTGGAGAGTATTTCTTATTATGTGTAATGAGAAACACAGCACCATCTCAATAAGTTAGTGAGATAATATTACTGTATAAGCAGCATAGAGCAAGTGCTAAGTCTTCTCTTAAACTCGGAAAATGTGCTACTGAAACAGTTAAGTAAATTATGTGAATTTGTAGGATTGTTTCAAACACAAATATTGAGATGGATTTTGTGATTCTAAAGTTGTAGGGGGGAATGAAGTTTGAGGTGAGTCTGGAAATCGAGATTTTGTTTCTAATGTGAAATTTACTGTGAAAGTTAGAAAGCTTTATAGAAAGATCTTTGTTTAGCTGTGAGAAAGGTGCCAGTTTAATTTGATGTTAATGAAAAGAAGTTAAATCAGATTTTGTTGGGAAGACTTGAAGCTATATAGACAACATTTCACTGTTTGTGTCATATTATTTGTCTGATGATGATGATCAAAAGATGATCAAGCTGAATACACCAGAGAAATCTTTTGAACAATAATTGCAGAGATATAAAAATGAGAAATAAAAATTTGAAAGATAAAATATAGTATTTTTCTATCATCCTGCAGATTAATATGATATTCTGAATGGAAGTCACTATCATCACCAAAATGGATGAGGGGGATTGTTTTCAAAATTTGAAAGAAACAATAATGTTAGTGTATTTCTATGTATACAAAAGAATTATTCAGTATGATTTGCTCTAGAGAGAAAAATTGTCAATTTAATAATTTATTTCTGCATTTTGGCACAAAATGCAAAAAGTGTTCTTTGAGTCAGGCTCAGTTCAGCATGTGGCAGTCAGTTCCTTTTTCAAAATAATGTACTAGCTCACAGCAGTTATTTTACAAGAATTTTTGGTCAAATGTATGCATTTTGTCACCAAAGTTATTGTATAAATTTGTGTTCCTTTGATTATTTTTTGCTTCCAAAATTGAAATAATTATTGAAAGAGCACTTTTTTGCTGACATTGAAGAGATCCAGTGGACTCTAATGTAAAAGAATACTTGCAGGAATTTTGTAATTTTGTGGGCGATGTTAGATTATGTCACTCTGTTTATCAATGAAAAAGGTATGCACTTTGAAATAAAGGTAGAAAAAAGCAAATTATATCCTTCTGTTTTGTTTAATAATCGTAACCTCATTATTTAATTATTTAATTGTTTTGAAGGAAATAAAGCATGTAGCTTTTTTTCATGAGTATTGTGTATATTTGATGAAACTTCAGTATTAAGAAGCAGAACCTATTTTGAAAGGGGTTATAGACCATTTTTTTTTCCTCAGCAACAAAAAATCATTGTGTAATATTGAGTAGTTTAACTTGAAATAAGTAATATTTTATTCAGCTGAAATGAAGATATGTTAAATACCTTATTTACTTGTGTAATAGTCATACTTTTTTTTGCCAGTTTTTCATTGTGAAAAATCTAGGTACGACTTTTATGCAGCGGAAATAACTTTTGATGATTTTTTCTGTTTTAAAATGGGGGTGCGACTGTTACGTGAGTAAATACTGTAATAAAATTAGATACTTAGTATTTATTATTATGAAATTAGGTTATATTGAATCTTATTAATGAAATTTCATCAATATTCAAGGATTTAAAAAGTGTAAATGACTACCTTAAGCAATGTTTTTAACAGTTTAACAGATACAAATTTAATTGTATGGTTCGTAGATCAATATTGATTAAATTGTGGAAAATTTATAAGTATTTTGCCATTGTATGTTTTTACAGCAAAATTTCAAGTAAATTACTTTTTTTAGTTACTGTTTTTTTTTTTTTTTTTTTATTTTTTTTTTTTATTTAAAATTTTAAATAAAAGTGAAACTTCATGTTAATATAGCCCCCCCCCCTTTTTTCATATACAGAGGCTATTTTCCCCTCCATTTTTTTTTAATAACTGTGATTGCAAGTTAGATATATTTTTTCATTTCATTACTTGTTAGCTTTTCAATTTCTATTTCGATTTTCATTTCAAAGATGTATTGACAATGTACGAGTACTTCCTCTTTAGGTTGGGTTTGTCAGGTATCAAGCACCTCTGCTAAATAGCATTTTGTGCCAAAACAAATGGAGTTAGGAAGCACTCTATTTGTTTTGGTTGCTCACTTTGTTTATAAAGTCTGACAGTCCCTTAATAGAGCTGAGGTGGATAAGAAGGTAGGGGCAAAGCTCAGATTTTTTCCCCCTTCGCTATTTTATTTGTTATCAGAAGTTCAGGGTCAGTAGCCTGTTTCTCTGATAAATGTTTTTCAGGGTATACCTCAATGAGTACAGCCAACTTGACCACTGTAAGAGCCTTCCTGAAGGTCTGTCTTTTGTGGCAGTCTTCAGAGCTGTATTCTGTTCTATCCTTTGGAAATTGCTAATTATTCACCTTTCCTCTTGGGTTTTTCAACCCAAGCACCTTTGGCAATTCTTTTCAATTCTTGGCACTTTCAAGCACCTTTTTTTTGGGGGGGGGGAATTGGTACTCTATTCATTCTCCTTTTGATTTTATGTGGAGATGCTGTCATGCATTTAAGAGCTTCCTGCCCTTCTCCAGACTTGAGTAACTTGAGTAGAGGTCATTTCTACTTCACTCGATGAAGGATTCATTTTTGCTTCTTCAGTTGATTTCCTCCGAGTTTCCTTGTTTTGACAAGAAAGGTATACCTCAGAGGTTTTTGCCTGCAAAAGCAGAATTTTTAGTTATATTGGCATTTTCAACCATATATAACTAGAAAAGAAAGTACAGGATAAAAAAAGGCTACCCAGTATTTCCTGTTGCTGGGTAAGGTAAAATATTCTAGAAATTGCCAAGGTATACTAGAGGCCCTGTTAAGACACTATAACCACAGTGTCATTCGCTCTAGGAACGTGTCTCATAACCAGGGTTATGGGAGCAGTTTGTGGCTTCTTATTTATTATTTGAAGCTTTTCTGTTGGATAATACAGGACATCCGGCTATCCACCACCTGCCAATGCACCTGATAGCCACTCAGGCCCCAGGAAAGTACGAATGAGACTAATCCCAGTTTATCAGCATTGTTTTTCATCTTTTAAAAATCTGAGTCTTTCAAGCTGTTGTATCTTATCAATTAATCAGTTATGGTGCTAACTCAATTTCTTATTCTGAATCTTCTGATCATTTTTTTTTTTCCTTCAGTGGCTTGTAATGTACCATATTAAGCTATAAGAAGTGTTAATGATGCAACATCTTTTGAGTGATTGCTGCACTATGCTTTCAGAGATAAGAACCCAATATTAGAAAGGAAATACTGGAAGAGGGAAGCATTTCTCAGAATCAAAACAATTCATTATTTCAAAATCTAAGTGTATATGACAGCAAGATTTTGAGATGAGCGTAATGACTCTTTTATGTGATCAGACCAAAACCGTAGAGCGGAAAGAATCAGACAAGCGCTAAGGTCAGGAGAATGGATCTGCAAATTCTCTAGAGTTATTTTGAAATCCCCATCAGCAGCTGAGTGTTTAAGACTTCTTAATACTGGTAGTTTAACCTGGTTTGTTTTGGATCCCAGATAAACAGGCCAGTTGCGTGGTTGGTTTTCATAGTTATCCCCATGTTTAACATAAATATGATTCAGTTTCCCTTGAAAAGTCCTTCCCAAAGGCATTCATCCTCTTAGGCAGATAGCCCTTACTGCTTTGCCATAGTCAAGTAACATACCTTGATTATTTGAATATGGAAAAGCCAGGAGGGCTATCTACTTCCTTTAGACATGACATACACATACTTTAGACATAAACCTCCAATAGACATAGAACAATACAATTCTTGAATGAATAGAAAAGTTGGGGAATGTTAAAATTTAAACCCACTTTTAACATGGGAGGAAAAACATTCTCTTCTTCTCTAAAATAGAAATAAATTTTTCTAGCATTTTTCCAACAAGGCTCTTGATGAGTGAACTCTTAAGAGAACTACCATTCCATTTTGTGAGATCACTGTTTGCTTGCTAATTAAAGTGAATTGGGTCTTTGAATCAGTTTACAAGAGAATTACCCATCCTTTATAGGGTTACCATATTTCTTGAAAGTAAAATATGGTAGACAAAGGGAGGGTAAAAGTGTACCTGTATGTCACTGTGTCTTCGTGTCCCTCATAGAGAAACAGTGTTCTTCGTATTTAAACATTTATTAGGAGGTTGATGTTGTTTCATTAATGGCTCCAATGAACCTTCCCTATCCTGACTTCTCTGTCCCTCCTGGAAACTCAACTTTATTGGTGCCTCAGATTGAGAGCAAGTGCCCTGTATGCATCTTGTTAGTTGACGTCACTTGTACATCACAGTACCATTGAATAAATATTTATACACATTATTGTGTGATTAATAATTTTCAGTAGCGTGAATTTTCCGTGAAAAAAGTTTTTTTTTTTTTTTTTTTTTTTTTTTACCAAACTATATCTTGGTTGTATTTTAGTTTTTGATCGAAATATGTTAAATTATAATTACGTAGTGCTGCATAATTTGCATTCTCTTTTCCCAATTTTATTACTTGCATTTGATTTTCTTTTCTCATTTTTGTACTTACATATAACATTAAAATTGTTTGTTCGTATTTTAGAGCTCCTGCATTACCAAATAATAGCTTCTGCAACCATTGTTACTTAGAAAAATTAGATGTATTGAGGGAAGGGGATGAAACTATTGGCATAAAACTTCAAATAATTACGGAAGGTTAGTATTTTTTACTTTTTTCAACTTTTTAATGTCACATTTATGCTAAAGAGAATTATAAATTTTAAAATTGTTTGTATAATTTACAGATTTAGGAGCAAATAAACTTTTGGAATTCCGTAAGCAGATTATGACCAAAACGATAAAATTTGGGGACTCAGCACAGGTAAGAAAAGAATTTAGTAAAACATTTATTAATGTCTGCTTATTATAATGTTATACAGGATGAGCATGAAAGGAATTTAGCAATTATATACTGATGTATTAATCACATGCATTATTTCCAGTTACAAAGTTTTGTTAATTAAGGTAGTCTCAATATTGATATCTGTGAAAATAATCTCAATATTGATTGTAAATTCTTATATGGTTTCTGTAGAACAATTGACCTGGTTAGAGAAAAGTTTTAATAGGCTTTAATAAATTAATTGCAAAATATAATTCATTTTTACAGCAAATTCAGTGAAATACTTGTAATTGACAAAATAACCAGTGGTATTTTTTTCCAGTAGGGAACTACTGCCAAATGAGACCTTCTTATGTTTAGTTCCATCCTAAGTTCAAAAACATTTTTGTATTTTCTGATTATCTACACCCATGTTGGGAAGTCAAAAAAAAAAAAAAAAAAGGCAAAACAGTATGTGCCAAAATAATTACATGGCAACCCACAGTATTGCAAAAAAATATTTATGTATTAACCCAAGTTATGCACATAGGTCATGTCAGTTTGGCTAGTACGTTTACTGAAGTTGTCAGATGTTGGGTCTGTACAATTCTGTGACTTTTTTGTACTGAAAACGGATCACGGTGTACATGAAAAAAACAAGAGTGCAAAGAAGATAAACGTTTTAACATTTACTTTTCTTAGTTTTTTAAATTTGATTAATTGATTGTTCTTGTATGGAATTATGAGCATGCCACCATTTTGAAAATGGCTGTTGCCTTTCGTGCAGTAGCTGGGTAAAACATTAGTCCCCTAGCAAATTAGCAAATGCTCTCCAGAGTTGACAGCAAGGTTGCGTCTTTGCAGTGGGAGTTATGGTTAATCCAAAAGTACCAAAAATTTTAACAGAATTTGATTGAAAATAATTGTTAAAAGAGGTCCAAACTGGTAACCTTATTTTTAATAGCTTTATAAATTTTCCACATAAAGCTGCTTATTTATATATATATTTTTTAAGAATCTATTTTATAAAAATATGAATATTTTTCTAATTGAGTGTTTTGTTGCATGGAGACTTACAAAATTAAAATTTTGTGTTTGCAAAACTGACACTTTTACTGGTGCAAAAACTCTTCTCTTAAAGTTATCTCCTTTAAAAGAGTGACTAAACTTTATAGAGAAGTAAATAAGCCTAAGGCAATAAATTTTGTTACCATCTTTCATAAACATTCTATACAGGATGATCCTTTAAAAACTTTACATGCTGCTCTGGCAGACCATGACAGACAAATTTTATACAAGAAGTTTTGTCCAAAGTCAGAATCAGCCACCACTAGAACACAATATTCTTGAGTGTATTTCAAGAGTGGAAAGCCCGATCATTTCAGGCAAGGATTTTGCAGGAGAAGGATACATTGGCAGAGTAATGAGAAACTGGCCAATATGCATTATGTTTATGGATGCTGCGAAGCACATGTATCAAGAGCCCTTCCCAAATAAGTATCTGCTAGGTCATCCATCAATTGTACTGCAGATAGACTGAGGCTGGACTTTTCAGAGTAAGCATCCATATCAGTTGTCAGTGTCTCATGAATCGGAGCAGTTGAACAGGTCTTGGGTGTTCCTTCCTCCAGTGTTATGCACATGTTGCATAAAGACACACTACATCCTATTACATACAGAAACGTGGAGCAAAACCCCAACATGTCGCATTTGTATGCTGATATCTGCATAAATGTAATGTATAGCCAAATTTTCCATAATGAATTCTGTTTAGCAATGAAGTGACTTTTTCATAGGACAATGTCCTGAACTCGCATGACTTGCAGGTGTGAGTACATATGACAGTCCCAGGAATACACATGCTTATGGAAATCAACAATGTGTTTCCATAAACATGTGGCTTGGTAATATTGATGACTTTTTAATTGGTCCTTACCTGCTGCCTTAATGCCTCGACAGCATATTTATTGCATTTTTTAGAGGATGTGTTACCAAATTTAATGGATGTTGTTCAGTAGCTTCAGGTAGAAACATCCAATTTCAGCATCAGTGCACGAGACTCGATAAAACCTACCTTATCGCTGGATTGGCAGAAGCATACCAGTCACTTGGCCACATGATCCTCTGACCTGACTCTCATGGATTTCTTCTTGTGAGGATTGTCTGCTATATGAGACACCCACGATATTTGGCATTGACCTCTTAGCCAGAATCATGGAAGCAGCAGCACGTGTCTGCTACACACCTGGCCAGTTCGAAGAAGTAAGTAACCGACATTGTGAAGCATGCATTGCAATGGGTAGAAAGAATTTTGAACATTTTCTGTAACTATGATTATTTCCTTCATTTGTATCAATAAGTTTTTTTTATATAAATTCATGTTAATGCTGCTATCGGTTCCCTTTCCTTAATGCTGCTGCTGATCACCTTGCTGTAGCACTGCACAGGATGATTTCTGCGTATAACTTCCTATGCAGAATCTTTTAGGACACCTTGTATTTCAGGAAATGTTGGTGTATTTGGCAGTAATCATTTTTCATCTGATAAGAATTAATATCTTTATGCTGATCCTGTATTGCATTTATTAAATGAAATAAGCTCTTAAATATGTAACAGTCATATTATGATGACTGTTATATTTTTTTATAAATGTAAATGAATTTGAATTTAATAGTTGTATATTTTAAAGTATAGAGAATTTTCTGTGTATGAGTTTATATCAAAGAGATGAAAGAATATTTGATACTATCACATTATCTGCCTAATCTTGACAAGAATCAAAGTGCTTAAGTGTTGCCAAAGTAGGTAACCCAGAAATTTACAAAAATGTATCTGTCTGGCAACTCACTAATGGTTGCATATGGATTATACCAACACATAATACTGTTATCTTGCTGGCAGTAATAATTTGTGCGGTTTTGAAATTCGAGGGGATTACCTGTGATTTATTATGATTAGTTTGTGGATTTTTTTCCCTGCTAATGAGAAAGAAAGTATAGCCGTTTTTTCAGAAATGTGGCATTTTGCATAGTAATAGAGTGTCGGAATTTTCATTTTGTAAACTTAATTTGTCCAGTTCTCTAATTTTTTGTAAGTTAAAATAGTTCGATGTGTACATAGCGAGCACTTCCAGTTTGCTTTGCAGTACCAAGAAAACTGAAATTCTCTATTTTTTCAAAGTTAAAACAGATCATTGTAGACATGGAAAAAAGATAGTTAAGTGTTTGTTGTGTTTTTAATTTAGTTAATTTGTTGGTGTGTTATAAAATTTTGAAAGTTTTGTTTTGACGTTTCTTGCATTTTTAATTTCTTTAATTCATTGTTGTTTTATGTAATATTCAGCATGCCACCATTCTTTAAAATGACTACTGTTTTTCATTTGTTAGGTTGACAAAAAATTAGTTACCAATTATTGCCGACTTTGGAGAATGGTTGGGCGGATAATGTTAGAGTACCAAATTTTTAAATGCAGTACAAAGTCTGAAATCTGGGCTTCCAATAACCCGCAGGATTTAATATATATATTACCAGCAATTTTTTTCAACAGAGGAGAAATAGTTTGAATTCGAGAGTAGCATTTCGCTTTAGCATATGCTCAATGCTTCTCACATGTGCAGTAGACATTTTTTCATAATAAAAAATGTGTAGGATCCTGATTCTTAATTTCACTTTGATACTAAATAAAACACCTCCATGTTGGAGAAACACAATAATTTATTAGCACAAATGTATATAATCAATAATTTGGATCTGTAACCCCTTTTTGATTGACGTCTCAAATCAAAACATTGTACCAAAGATCGTTGCTGATTTTACTCCTAGTGAATACCTTATATCCATGACATCAACTTGGCAAATAATTTTCTGTTTTTTTTTTTTTTTTTTTTTTTTTTTTTTTTTTTTTTTTTTTTTGCTTTCATCATTTCTTATTTCCAGCAGCTTGAGAAATGACTCATGCAACTATATATATATGTGGGTGGGGAGTTGAAGATGATATCCTTAACACATTAAAGGCGGGAGTCGTAGTACTACGATTATCTCGACTGTAGCTTAAAGGCGGGAGTCATATTAGTACGGTTTGCAACCACATTGCACAATCCATGCGCCACTTTAATTTTGTATTTAGTATGTTTTGTGGTTTGAAGCTTTTTGGTTGTTCAAATTCTACTTATAGTAAATTTTGAAATCCTTCAATATGGTTTCATGTGAAAATAAAGATATATATGCAGACGATTTGATGGACATTGAAGAGCCACAACCTGGTACATCAAACTCGGCACCACAGACTCCATGATATAAAATTTATCCGTCTGGACGTCTTTCGCTAGACATCAAAAAGCACAAATTAATTCGGATAGAAAATAAAGGCAAAAAGCTATATGCCCAACGAAACTGCGTAGTTTGTGCGGCACATAAAAAAAAGAAAGTTGACTTGCTTCAAATGCGAGTTTTGCAATGCACCTCTTCACTGTGGCGAGTGTTATCAACATTATCACATAAAAAATACTAGATTCTTCTCATAAATATGTACATTAAAACATTTTTTGTAAGTAGTGTTTAGTTCTTTTTTTAATATTTCTTGTAGTTTTAAGAGTTTAAATAAACTTTTTAAGTCTAAATTTTTTTATGATTACACAAAATATCGCCCGCTCTGGAACGAAAAACAAGGCGGGGCGGTCGGCGTGTTACTTTCATCAAGATCCGCCTTTAATGTGTTAAGTAAACTCTTCCACATGTCTTCCAGATCACAAAACATTTAATGAATAATAATAGAAAAGCTACAGATTTGAATTAAGTAACAGTACCGTTGTGCGTTCTTGTGCTGGTTAGATACAAATACAGTTCTGCATGACTTTAAGTATTTAAATAGCTACTCAGTGCCTACTCACGCTTGCTATTTTAACAGAGTTTTGTTCCCACCTTCGCATGGAATCAACATCTATCCGACATCATCGTCTTTCGCTTTGCCCTCTTTGTTGGCACACACGTGATGCCTTGTG